TACAGGACCCTCTTAAACTGCAGTAAGATGTGAACCATTACTCCTTGTAGAAGACTTCACTTTGAGGTAGAAATAGAAGTAGAAACGTTGTTCCTTTGCTTTATCAAGATCAGGAGACTGTAACAAGAAGCTCTCTTAACACTTAAGATCATCTTAAGACTGTCTTAGTGACTAAGAGTGTAACAAGAAGCAATCTTATATCAATCTTAGAATAATTGGCAGCCCTTAAGACTTTCGAATTTCTTATGGATTTAAGGGAATTCTTTGCCTTCCCTTATCATAAACTTATCAATTCGGGTAACTCGAAAAGATCTTCATTTTCTTGTCCTTTAGTAAGAACTCTTTGCATCAACATAAGCATTTACGAGCGTAACACGATTCTTACTTAACTCCTTTTAATGTAAGTGTGTTTCTACTCACCGCTAAACTACTCTTTGAATGAAAATAGCGCTTGTTTTAAATATGATGAATAATGAACAGGTGAAGAAATCAAAATCGCTTTACTGGCATGAACATAAGGATTTTGTGTTATTAAAATTTACAGTTACAAATTTTTGGAAATTATTTTAAATTAAGGAATATATCTCCCTCATGCCAAGCTCTGATTCTTTGCCCGATTTTGGTTATACTCTTTTGTTATTTTTGGTTTATAAGCTCTTCATATTTTTAATAAACTTTGGATTTTCAAATATTTTGGCCTCGATCATCACTGAAGAGAAATTTATTGTCCAAATGCGCATCTGGTGCAGAAAAATTGATACCTTTAATGTTATCACAAGACGTTTATTCCATGACCACTTAAATCCTCTTGATTTTGTGACGGATGGACAAATTATAAAAAAAACAACAAATTATCAAGAAACATCGGTTAGACAGAGCGAGCATATATGACTTATGGTTATATCCTTTATAATACCGAGCCCCCTTTTTTCCTGATACTCCCCAAAAGAGACCCATTTAGACACTAAAATATTAAAGAAATGTTTAATGTATACTTCTAACAACTGTCTTATATATACTGATTCTCAAATTTCCCCTAAAATTATAAAATAGTATCTCATTAATTCTGATCCTCAAATTTCCACCAAAACTAACAAAACTACTACATGTAACTATATATCGATCTATCAGTACAGTTTATTCCGTTCATGAAAAAGATGAACTGCATTTTAACGGAATAAACGGTATGAATATTCCGATATTTCTTATTTAAATATTTCAATTTAAATAAAATACTGTCTTATATCTACTGATCCTCAAATCTGCTGGAGGCCGTATGGAGACATATAGTTGTTAAATTCACGTCAAGTCGTCTCTGGTAGAGAACTGTCCCATTGGCAATCATACCACATCTTTTTATTTCTCAATGATCCTCAAATTTCCCCCAAAAACTATAAAACATCGTCGTATGGGGTTTCGAAAATGAATGAAATCTTTCTTTTATTCATAGATAGATAACCAGTGAAAATGCAAATTTCTCCGTTGGTGGGGGACGAGTATATTTCTTTATGTTGAATATTCGGTTTTCGTGATCTTTTTCACTGAGTCATCATATTCTTTTTTCTCTAAAATTTCCCACGTTGTTAACTTTATCAGGATCATCCTTATAATCAATCTTGTTTGACTATGTGTGTCTACAAGACTCGTCTCATGTTAGCTATGGTTGTATTCTTGTCATGGTGGTTTTACAAGCAATTCCTTCAATGATTGTTTTTCTGGTCCAATAATTCCAACTGCATGGTAAGTACATTTGCACCGCATCCTTATTTCCGTCTATTTCTTATCCCGATTCCATATCACTTATTTCAGTTTCATTTGTTGATTGTACCTTTCGTCCAATGAATATTGCAATGTAATTGAATTTGATATCCACAGACGTTGAAAAATTACCAAGTGCAGGATGACCCATACCTTTTATAAATTGTCACATGTATACTTAGTTGCAATAAAAACGCAACACTTGAGGGTAGATTACATAATATGATAAAAATTAGGAGCAACACATCTTCAGAAGTAGCTTAATCGTGGTACGATTTTGCAGATTTCTTAGAAAAAAACAGAGAAGATACCAATGGTGCTATCAAAAAGTCCAATAAACAGGCAACACATGGCCAAACAGGAAATAAGAAAAAATAGACAAAAACGACAAAAATAACAAAACATGTTCACATAAACTAAAGTTTGTGCATCAAGAATCCGCACAAAAAACCGGGGTGAAGTCAGATACTTAGGAAAAGTAAGCAGTTCCTGCTCCTTAAGTGGCACCTGTCGTGTTCATTCTAAGTAAAAGTCGCATTCGGCATAGTCGACGAAAAAAGGACAGAACTGATGTTACGTCAAGTTGATCATAATGTTTTCATCTGTGACCCAGATAATTTAGATTTGTCAAACAAATCATGAGATTGGGTCCGTAAGGAATTACTTTGATACTCTTTATGAAAGCAGAGCTTGAATGTTGCTACACAGAAATGGAAAGTTCACAATGGGGAAAATTGAAATTATTGCTTGTGTCGAATAAAGTAAGTTTTCATCCATTGTTGATTTGCATGTGTAGGTCGAGATACAAAACATACTTCATTTTATTTATTGCATCATTTATTTTAAAGTAAAGGTTGATAGATGCACTCATCATAGTAACCACATTTGCATCATTCAGTAAAAGGATAATGTCTATCTGAAGTAAAAGGTAGATGTCAGCTTCCTGACATATGTAAAGGTCTTGTATGAAATCTGCACCATAAGAATAAACGAACAGCTCGACCAGCAAAGTATGATTTGTCCTGAAACAAGATATTTGTAACCATGTTAGCCATTCTTTTTTTATGAAACAAACTTTGACTAATTCTTTCAATTTGTCTGTAACTTTACAATAAGGATTACTAATATAAAGAGTTGGAGTCAAATGTTGTTTTGTATATTATTGCACGAGGAGAGAGACTTACTTTGTATTAAGGGCTACTATAACATTGCAGTGTTTTAAATTTCCACGCCAATTCACTCGCATACGAAAAAAAGTCTCAACGAATCTCTACATAAAGTTTGGCGACTTTAAAGGTTACGGTTGATTTGGATTTGAAACAGTTTTGATTTGAGCGCCACTGATGAGTCTTATGTAGACGACACGTGCTTCTGGTGTACCAAGTTATAAGCCTGATATCTTTGGTGAGTTTTTTTCATATCTTTTGTAATTGTTTTTGCAACGAATAGGTATAGACAGAAAACAAACTGTAACGATGCTCAGCAATTACTATTCTCGATATATCTCGATCTATTAGATGCCATTAAATGATGATTTCTGACCAAGATTTGACTACGTCAATAACATGAATAAATAATGTGCTCCTGGCAGGGCAGAATACTATCATTGCCCGAATGACCCCCTTCCCGTTTGTAGGGCAGTTATTACAAACCCGGAAAGCTGTATATTTGAAAAATAAAATATATCGTTTTGGAACAATGGTTTGATTTAAAACAGTTGTAAAACCTTGATTTTCTGGGTTTTTTTTTTTAAATTAGAACATAACTAACTATATATTGCTATCCATGTATATGTACAGTTTTTTTTCCAAAATTTATGAAAAGCTGTTTGAAATACAATTTTGTGATTATTTTGAAAATATATTTCATCCTTATCTATGTGTTTTTAGACGTGGTCATGGGTGTCAGACCACACTGTTAAGACTGCAAGAAGATTGGCGTGCAGCATTAGATAATAACCAGTATATAGCTACGGTTTTAATGGACCTTTCAAAGGCTTTAAATTGCCTACAACATGAAATTCTGCATGATAAATTATCAGCATATGGCGTCTCTTCTCATTCGATTTCACTTCTTCAATCTTATTTGTCAAACAGGAACCATTTTCTGACACCATTGACATTTATCTATCATTCAAGAGGTCTTTGAAGGCTATATCATTCTTCAGCTATCTAAAACTCAATTGTATTGCACATTAACTTTCATATTTGAACAGTCATCGGGGCCAAAATAAGAAACCAAACTCCTAACTGTGTATTGCTACCTGTTATACATTTTTCATGTCGGGGCCTTTTAAAGCCGACTATACGGTATGTGTTTTGCTCATTGATGAATACTGTATGGTTGCCTATAATTGCCTACATCCACTTCATTTGAACTCTGGTGGGTACTTGCCTCATTGGCAATCATACCACATCTCCTTATTTTTATATTGTACTCAATAATAATAGCTTTTCTAAAAAGCTTGTATTCCAGAGGTAATAGCATTTAGAACATAAAATTTTGAAATGCATAAAAATATATTCTATAGGATATGTATTTCAAATATAGTTGGCGTCCATTGCATTGCTGTACAGCTATATTGTATCTTTGTAAAGCCGACTATACGGTATGGGTTTTTCTCATTGATGAATACTGTACGGCTGCCTATAATTGCCTACATCCACTTCATTTGAACTCTGGTGGATAGTTGTCTCATTGGCAATCATAACGCATCTCCTTATTTTCATATTGTACTCAATAATAATAGCTTTTCTAAAAAGCTTGTATTCCAGAGGTAATAGCATTTAGAACATAAATTTTGAAATGCATAAAAAATATATTCTATAGCATATGTATTTCAAATATAGTTGGCGTCCATTGCATTGCTGTACGGCTATATTGTATCTTTGTAATTGCAAAGTTAGCAGTTTCTATAATGAGCTTCCCTTCTAATGCTGAGTATATATATGAAACTGTTTTTGACATGTATTGCACAGTATAGAATACACGTTTTGAGTCTTAAAATTATCCATTTTGGGGAAGTGAATTTTTTCCAAGGCTAGTAATTTCTAAATACTAGTAACATCTTCTACCAAAACACACTCTAAACACATTTTGTCTAAACAAAGTCCTAAATATATAATGAGAACTTTAAAAATCAATAGACAAGCTTCTTTGAAAGTTGATATTTTTAAATACATATAAAGATTGTCGATTATATCAAGGGAAATAATTAACGGTATTATCAAAAGGAAGTGAAATACCTGTACAATGGCAACGGTAGGGCAGAATTATGAACAGGATGCATTCACGTGTCCTATTTGTCTAGAGACACTCAAGTCACCGAAAAGTTTGCCATGTTTACATACCTTTTGTGAAACATGCATTGGTGAGTTTATTGTATCAACTGAACAACGCGCAGACCAAAACCTTTCCAACTACCCTTGTCCTGTATGTAGGAAAGTTGTTACACCCACCAACCCAGAAGACGAAACATCACAATGGGCAGCATCGCTTCCGCATAATTTAACAATTTCATCATTAATATTAATGCAAAATGCAAAGAGTGTCGAACAGGAATGCCATATTTGTAAAAGGCAACACAAAATTTCCAAGGCTACACACTGGTGTCGAGATTGCATCGAAGCCCTTTGTAAAGAATGCTTGCACCTTCACGGTCTTATGAAACTTTTTGCTGACCATAAAATTGTCCAAGTTAAAGAAATAGATACGTCTGCCTCCGAACAGGAGCCCGACTTATGCATGATATCGGATTCGTGTCCAGTTCATAGCTCGAAAAGTGTGGTAGCGTTCTGTTTTGACCACCATGAGCTTTGTTGCGTGCTTTGTGTTACTGTTCAACACAGAAGGTGTGAAAATGTTCAAGTTATTAAAGAAATGAAATATCTGAAATCGAATAAAATAAACGCACTCGTGTTTGAAGTAAATGATATTAAGTCGAATATAGGAAATATAATGAAAGACAAGGGTGTAAAACAAGTAAAACTTGAAGCTGGATTTACAGAAATTGAAGTAAGAGCGAACCAACTCATTTCATCCATTAAAGGTAACTTAGACTACATTTTAGCCTTGTTTATCAAGGAACTAACATTACACGAGAGGAACAAAAACGCGAGTTTGAAAAAAAACTAAAAACGTTAGAAAAACTGAAGAATCATTTTGATCAGCTACAAAGCGTGACAAAAAGTGTTCAAAAGACGGGTTCTCTGTCCCAAATGTTTATCCATTTCGAAAAATCAAAAACCGAAGTAAAATTCATCCTGACCAAAGCAACACAGATTCTGAATACACCATCGGTTCGTGATGCTAAATTAGAATGTAATGCATTACTGGACCAGGTTGAAAATGTTGATCGTCTTGGAAAGCTAATATTAACACGTACGAATCCTTCTGAAATGAAAGAATATGTAAAACAAATTTTTCCGCACAACTGTTCTCTTTTGAAGGAAACTAAACCAGAACTTTGTTATGGGAATATTACGCTTAAACACAGTAAAACTATTTGTTTAGGTGATTTCAATGTTCACGGGGGTGCTTTTATATCCGATGACGTGGTTGTAATTGGAGGAAATGAGGGCGGTTCTGGTGGATTGATAAAAGCGATAAATATATCAAACGAAAAAAATGATTTGTGAAAGCACTTTTAAAACAACTGTTAAACGATTAGCGTATGATTTTGAAAGTAAATCTCTTTTTGTTTCTTGCTATGAGTCGATGTTGTTCCATTGTCATGATTGTTTGAACAACGAATTTACAAGCAAAATTAGATTAAAAGATTGCGGCCTTGAATGTAACAATGGAGATATTTGCACTTTTGATGGCGTGTTATACGTTATTGTTGACAATGCAATACAAAGAATGGATTTCACAAAGTTACAAGATGGAATGTTCGAAAAGTGTTTTGACTCCGATACAACGTGTTTTAGTCTCAACGGACTTGAGATTGATTCAAAGAAAAAACATTTGCTCTACACATCCGAAGATTGTGAAGCTGTATGTACATCTTTGAAAGGCAGAGAAATATTTAGATACAAAGATGAATGCCTCAAGCAAGCACAAAGCTTAGCCGTCCATTCCCATGGATTCATACTTGTAGCAAACACCGGAGAAGGCTCGAACGGATCTATACATGTGATATCCGAAGATGGAAAAGAAGGACGGACTGTTTTGCATAATTGCTTGAATAATGAACCCATTCGAGATATTTGTTTTGACAAGATCAACGAACGTCTCGCTGTTTTTGAACCGAGTTACGTTGAAATATACGATGTCTGTGTGGAAAAAAAACTCAAACGCAAGAAAGCCCGTTAGTAAATGAGTGAGTTATGAGAAGACAAATGCTCATTTTGTAAACAAATTGTAGTTTACATAAATCTTTACTTATAATTTTTGTTTGATTTTAGAAAATACACAAGTGTTAAACATGACAAAAAGTAATTGTAATATTCCAATTATTAAAAAGGAGTTTAACTCTTCCACATATTCACTTGTGCTTGTCAAAATACAGGAACCTCATCAGCGGTTGTCTTAGTTTTTTGCTTTTTGCCTCGCCTGCGACGAAAGATGCAGTTTGCGAGACAGTGGGATTACTATTCGGCGGTGGCGGCAGTTCAAACTATTTTATAAAGCTTTATATTTCAGAAGGTAGAAGACAAGGGTTCTGCATACCTTGTATGCAGATACCTTATGTTACGAAGTTTCCGTCTGTCATTGTCATGGTTCAGCGACTGCTTGAAAAAAATATAGTTTTTATGTGAATTTCTCACTTATTATGAGTAATAGGATAAACGTGTTTGGTAAATGGGTTCATTGTAACGTCTACATGTCCGTCAGACAGATTTCACCTGACTTCGACATAATTTCATTTATCTTACCTCCTATACATTTCTAGGAATATGATTGGTTAAAAGCGTCCGCGTTGAGACCGTGTATATTCCATATTAGGTTAGTAGGGAGGCGGGGCTTATTTCAATACACGGTTAGTAGTGGTGTTACGTCCCTTTATAAAAACAAAGCAGTACCGAGAAAAAAATCTTAAAGGTTTCAACAGACAAAGAAATTGACGATGAAGATTGAAATAAATTCATAAAACACATTTAAAGCTATATATATCAAGTTGTTATTGTTGGTATCTGTTTTTGTATGATCAATGGAAGTAGTTTCTTAATGCTAACGGTACTGAAGAATTGCTCATTTTGATGGGTCACTAGACAATGTCTAAATATCACACGTCAAGATAGTCGGTAAGATAAATTCGTTACATAGTGTGCTAGTGACGTAATACGGTATATATGGGGTCAGAAATTCCATATGGGGATTCGGGCTTCGCTCTCATCCCATATGGAATTTACTGACCCCATATATACCGTATTAGGTCACTAGCACACTATGTAACTAATAGTATTAAGTGATCAAGGTTAAAGTTACATGATAAGGTCTGTTTCTCAGAAACTATACGCAGTAGGTCTATAGATGGTGTGTATGAAATGATTGTAAAGGGTACATGTCAGTCTGACAGGTTTTATCTGACCTGACCTCGTTTTAATGGTTCATTGGTCAATGTTAAGTTTTTGTTTATGGTCTGTGTTTTTCAAATACAACAAGCAGTAGCTCGACTATATTTGGTGTATGGATAAACTCATCATAGATACCAGGATTGAAATTTTATATTTACGCCAGACGCGCGTTTCGTCTACAAAAGACTCATCAGTGACGCTCGAATCAAAAAATGTCAAAAAGGCCAAATAAAGTACGAAGTTGAAGAGCATTATTGTAAGGTGTACATGTCATTCTGGCAGGCATCATCCAACCTTGACCTCATGTTCATGGTTTGTTGTTCAATGATTTTGTTTTTGTTTTTTTGGTCTGTTTTTCAAATACTATAAGGTGTACATGTCAGATTGACAGGTAGGTCAATTATATTCATTACATGGAATGATTGTAAGGTGTACATGTTAGTCTGACAGGTATAATCTGACCTTGACCTCAATTTCATGGTTCATTGGTTATTGTAAATGTTAAGTTTTTTTGTGTTTTGGTATGTTTTTTAACTACCATAAGCAATACGTCAACTATATATGGTGTATGAAATAATTGTAAGGTGTACATGTCTGTGTGATAGGATTTATCTGACTTTGTTTCATTGCACTGCATTTTTGCGCCTTATCGAAGTCGGGAACCTCTGGTCTGTATTTTTTTGGTTCATTTATATGTTTTGAAGTTTAGTGTGACGCCAATTTTCTCTGAACTAGTATACTTTTTTGTTTCGGGCCAGCTGAAGTCCGCATCCGGGAGCAGGATTTTCTCACTGTGATGAATACGCATTGATCGCCTTGGGCTGTTTTCTGCTCTTTGGTCGGGTTGTTGTCTCTTTGACACATCACCCGTTTCCATTCTCAATCTTATATTTGAAAATGTGATACTTGTAGTAAAACTTTTATCTTTAACACTTTCAACATAAAATTAATGATTAGTAAAACAGACGAGACATTTCGTCGTGTGCATTCTTGTTTATATGTATGATTGTGTTTTCTGTTGAGTGTGTGTGTTTTTGTTCTAATCGATATTTTGGTAACATGGTGCAATACATGTTTTTGATACACTCTTAGTCTGAAATGTCTTTTTTTAGAAACCGAAAGTTCACATTTAAATATGTCTTTCAGTTTTTGTGTTTGCTGTCTCAAATTGCCGTATAACCAAAATTTACTTTTTCACCTCCAAATATTAAATGCAACATAAAACGCTGATAATATACTGCGTGGCAACATGGAAAAGTTAAACATGACCCTAGCATATCCTGCTATATCAATTATGCATGGTGCGACCCCATTTATCTTATATCTTAAAAATGGAGCTGAATACTGGTCTCAGACTGCTTCAAATAGAAGTTCTACTACACTAGAAGAAACTACAAATGTAAACATTCACTAACAAAATAACCTGTTGACATTCTGCGAAATAATTCGGTTAAAAGGGAACTTGCTTAAACTTAGCTTGCTTATAACCCAATTGATTTAAACTTACAACAAAAATAAACAAACATTGCCATTATTTTATAATAACAAAACCGTTTCAAACTACAGTAAGATGTGAGCCTTTATTTCTTGTAGAAGACTTCACTGTCACTCCGAGGTGAGGAATAAGAAAAGAACCTTGTTCTTTTGTTTATCAAGATCAGTTTATATGAAGTGCAAATCCAGTTGTATACGAGTATGTCTATTGTAGAATAAAGGATGATGGGAAAAACTGCGTTTGTTTACTTTTTGAAAATACAAAATAATAAATTTGAATGTATGTTTAAACAGAATTTCATTAGAATAAAACTTTTTAATGTATGATAACAGGATTTAAGTCCCAAAAAGTGTTATTTAAGCAGCAGAATCCATAATATTGATTACTGAATGCGATTCATTTTAACTATAGATGCGATGAATTATCACTGTAAGTGCAATCATTTCTGATGTGGAATTTTTGGAAGTGCGATGAATTTTCATTGTCGTTTTATATGATTAATCGACATACAACAACTGAAAATAGTTTTTAAATGACTTTAATATTGATGATATTTACAATTTGAAATGCAAGCTTATCTTAGATGCTTAATTGAATATACACGGGTATAACCACGTTCATATCATGAATATTCAAATATTATTGGTGAGTTTGCTATTAGCTTGTCATGGATCCGAAAATTTACTGGAGCAGAACAACCATGAATATAACGAATTTTCTTTGAAAAGTTTTATAACTCGCTTAAAAAGATAGAACATTTGTCACGCCGTGTCATACATTATTTCTACCGTATTGATAGGTTTTTGCACAACGAACAGTACAAGAATGTACAACGAACGGTACTAAAGAAAACTACAAACAGAATGAATCGTACAGTGTCAAAATTCTGAGGTCAGTTTTTCAAGTAAATGTCTTCAAATAAAATTAAAACAACGGGTTTCTCATTCGTATTATGTATTTTAACAACAACAAAGCACAAAATACACAGTCGCATTTAGTGAAAGAGCCAACCAACTATGCTCTATTTGTAGTTTAATCAAGTTTGAGTTACACACAGTTGTTGTTTCGCGATGTTTACAAGTAATTCACAGACCTGTCTATTTAAAATAGTCATATGGTGTTCATGTAATATAAATGATATACAATGCTGCCAGGAGCAGTAAACTTTGTTTTCATAAACATTGAATACTTAACTGAACAGTTAGTCTATTAGTCTTTGGTGTAAATATAAGAACAGTATATCTACCAACATTGCTTCGCGATGTATCGATTAACGTCGGAATCAACTGTACGGCGGTTATACCCCGTGGTATAAAACCATTTAAACATGTAACAATAAACTGTTTTCAATATTTCTGTGTATTCGCACAATTGTGTATTGGCTTATTTGTAACACCGACTTATAAGAAATTCAAGCATATTTAAGGTGACTCGACTGTTGCTCGAACTTTCTTTACTGTATAAGATTTATACACAATGACATGATAAATATCAATTATCCAGTCATCCAAGCGTCAATTGTTTGTGCAAGAAGAAAACGTTTCCACTCATTCAATCGTGAAATGAAGATCGTATTGTGAATGCTCTTTGTTATCTCAAATGCGTCCATTAGAGCTATTTTCCTAACGCTTGTAGTTTAAAGGTCTGGTTGGCCATGTTGGCTTGCTTGCTTTGTTTGTATAAACGTTTGCTCAATCTTAATTACAATGCTT